GAAAGGAAAGATCTCTTTATATCTACCTGTAAAATGAAGTGGAGTTTAGTGGACGTGGAAAACAGATCACGAAGTTTCATTGTCTCCTTAATTTTCTGAGCTAATGAAAATTTCGTTTCAAATTGGATTATCCGCTTTGTGATGTGTTATGTGAAAATGGTATTGAAATATTGACTGTTACCCCACTGCCTGTTTGACATTGTCTTTCAAAAAATAATTTTTATTTTGTTTTATTTTATATTATTTATAAAAAATATATAGCAAGCAAGGAATGAGATATAAATCACACAAGAACTTAACGGTTTCAACTTTTCTGAGCCACTGAACTATTCGCATACGAAAGAGCTTTATTGGAAAGCAGCCTTTCTGAAACATGAACCGCGTTTTTGCATCAAAGAACAAGATATGCCAACTTACATGTCGAATTGAATTAATTTTAAATCTTAATTTCAGGTGACAATAACCATCAGTTATCGTTCCAATGTTTACATATAGTTGACATATAGTTGGTTCACCAATGAAATCGAATAATACAGAAGCTGTTCATTGATGCTCGAATAAAGCTACGAACATTAGGCGCATAAGTCATGAGTTAAACAAGATGACTTAGCAGTATGAGTATAATATAAGAGAAAACATACTCCGAAAATAAACATCTTGTAAACTCAAGATATGAGTTGTTAAAAACAAGACACAATATTCAAGGTGATATTTCGAATCTATTTCAAAGTCATTGTCAAACCTAACTATTTACAAGCAAGCTACGATCTTTATACAAATTTGTCAGGAAGTAACGATGACGTAAATCAGCGAGTTAATAACAGAAATACGAGAACATGGCATCACGAGATATTTGCATGCATATAGTGATACAGTCTAAAAAAAAACTATAAGTTCCTTTGAGGCCTTTAAGCCGCTATTGAGTTCTGGCTTTTTAAACTTTATATGCAGTGCCTCGAGGAACAACAACAGATAAGAGTTTGTGTGGTTGAGAGACTGGAGTATTTTTGTATTGCTGGGAATATTATTAGCTGGCCATATGGGCAGCTTGGGGCGAATATTTGTCTCGTATTGTTGATCAATTTAACCACTTGAATAATCATCTGCTATGGAAATTATTAAGAATCGTTATGTGATAATGAAATTACTAATGAAAATACAAACGTTTGACAAAACCAATATGATTAAGGGAAGAATGGAAGTTGTTTTAGAACAATTTCAAGCATAATTTTCAATTCCGCGTATGGCATTTACCACTTGCTCAAGCTTTGATCGTACATGATTCATACGACTTTGGGTTTTGGTCGAGGAGACGAGCGTCGAGGGTGAGGGAGAGGGTACGATCGAGGATGAAGTTGAGAGTCAATTTTTATCGCATTTTTTCGGCGAAGTGCACGTTTAGGATGAAGTCGAGGGTCGCTGTTTTATATTAGGCGAAGTCGGAATTAGCTTACTAACTGTCCACATCATCCCAACAAATAGTTTAAAAAATTCTTTCTAACACCGTGAGGGGAAAAGTCCTAATATGCATCTAGCATTTAATAATATTTAAATCGAAAGTATTTTCAGCCCTATATCACGCTATATAAACACGGTCATTTGGAGTATAGTCATGAAAACAACAAAAGACAGATTTTATTTTACAACTTTTAATGCGTGAAAATTCAATAGCAAATGCCAGTTATGGTATGCTACTGAACAAATAATTCATTGACATTGTGTTATAATAACACGTTTAAAGATGCTAATGATACGTGCTAATGATAATAATAAAAGCTAATGATACGTGCTCAAATTGTTTGCCATGGTTACTTTATACACAAATTAGTTCCCATAGACATTAACCCAATGTTACTTTTAGTTATTCAATAATGTAAAATAGGATCAGTCTATTAATGAACATGATGATAAACTTTTATTGAACCCACAAACTGCATGCAAAATAGAAACGAATTACGTCATGGAACAACCAAATTCTTTTCATACCGCGCGAGAAATCGTCAAAAAACGTTAGACTAGTGATAGGGCATTAAAGTTGGGTTACAGTCGGTAATGTAAACAAAGCTTTGTTTACATTTTTAATCTATATTATTATCTCCTAAAAAATCGAGAAATTTCTTTTAGTTCGCTGTACCTTTAATGAATATGGGAGAGAGTATATGTTCCGAGAAATACGAAACATGCGAAATTTGAACAATTTTGAGACAAGTAGACAACCATTGTAATAAGCAGAACCGATGCGCAGAAGAGACTGTAAAGCCCTTTAAATTAAGGGTACAAAGACTCTGGCGAGTGAAAACAACGCAGGAATTATCCCAAAATATCCACGTTAGCTTTTAGTTCCTTAAAAATCTCTAGGAGCCCCATGCATTTTACAATTTTGCCCCAAAAGAAGTTCCCCTTTTAAAATATAGCGTAAGTTGAAATTTGAATCGCCGACGTCGGCGGCATAATAATACTAGTGCTACATATAATAGTATACTAAAAAATGTTTATGAGTGCAATGATAAGAATATTTAGGTGAAAGATGGAATAATTCAAAAAGGCAAAGGTGAGATTTTCTCCATTGCACAAAATTAATTAAAACATTCATTTTTTGTTTTATTCAATACGTGTTCAAAAACAAGCAATTAAAATAGGTGTTATATAATACATAATTTCAGATTATAATTGGTGTTAAACGTACATTTCACTGTTTTGTATTTTATATTACTATGCAACAAAATAATGAAACAGTTCTTACAAGTGTATCATTTAGGATTTAGGATTTCAATACTACCAATCGTGCTTTAGAAAGTTTGTTGATCCGAGCTTTTGCGACGCTTTTTTACTCTACCGTAATTATTATAAACGACAACCTATCAATGAATATAAAATTGCGTTCTTTAATTTACAAGACGTGCAACAGAAACACGTCTTTATAACCTATAAACTTAGCATGGTCTATGTAGAGAATGCTAATGAAACTACATAATATTATTTTCTAAAAAACTCCTGCAAATAGTATACACCACTGAAATATGACATTGTGATTGACTTAGTCTGCTAGCTTGTAATTTTCACGATTTCGACCTTATAACCTTTAGCAGCATCCTTGAAAGCTATGGTTTTGACTTACGAGTTACTTACGGGCTGTTCACACTTATAGTTCGCTATAAGATATTGTCGATATTGGAGCTCATTTTTGCGGGCGGTCACATCAGAGACAACATTTTGAAACGGGCTGAATTAGATTAATCTCAGATCAATTTGAACCACTAGTGTGAACAGTCCCTGAGAAAAGACATAGAAAAAATTACAGACCGCCCCACAAAATATCTTATAAATATGCTCCCCTAAGAAATCATGATAAACATTCTCTGGAGACGTGGTTCTACTGTATGTTTTGAAAACATTGTGTCTGTTGGTGAAAGACTTGCTCTTGTCAGCTCCCCAGCCCCTCTGCCCAAAGAAAAATGCCATATGCATGAAATGAAACCAGGTGCACATATCAAAACGTCCGGTCGCCCAATGGATCAGTCGGTAAATCACCAATAAATTCCACTAGTATTTCGCCGGTCACATTATTCACGCTACAAACGTTTAAATTGCGCTTAAGTTTTGATTCCAAGGCCAGGTCATTGGCTGTTTTTTGCGCGTCGCTGTTCTTTGTCCAAATCACATCGAAAAGAAACGGTATTGATGTAGCAACCATTGTGGTGAGGATCTTAGCATTACTCGACACGCCAGAGCTTTGAGATAGCGCCAGGAAAAGAAACAGCAAATAAGCGAATAATACAACCAAGAATACCTTAGCGAAAAAAGGTACCAAAATTTCGTCGTATGGAAGAAGCGTCTCTCGGACAACATCGTATAGCGGCTTGGGAATCACAGGCTCGCCATTTTTATTCAACTTAATCACGAAACTGTGGGTAACGTCCGACGACGTAACTGACCGAAAACTGTCGCAGCTCTCATAGTCGCTGGAATGTATTTCAGGGCGGGTACATTCACAACCATGCAGAATAGAATTTTTCTTGCTAAATTTGTAAATATTTGTATTTAATTCAAGATATTTCGCTTCAACAGAAGACCTCCAATTGCTCCAGGAATAAACTAAGACGAGGGAGAGGGGAACAAAATATGTACTGTAATGTCCTGCGTTTAGATATAAACCAGCGATGAAGTAGAACAAGAGAACTAAACATTTCATAAAAGAACCGAGTATTAGCAGGAGGGTCAAAACTGAACCGAAAAATTGTGCGTAAAATTGTACGATATTAAATTTTGATTCGTTTCTGTCTTTCTTTTTGTCGCGACGCTTCGAAAAAGATGGATTGCCAGAAATTTGATGTCGATAATTGTTGTGCAACCTTAGCGCTTGGGATGAGGTTGTGGCCTTATGTTGTGAAGATGGTGAATTATACTGCTTAAACAAAATTTCAAGGGGGAAAAAACCTGCAGCAAAGTACAATACAAACGGTAAAACAAAAATCAGATATAGGATTAGTAAAATCACAATTGATAAACAATATTTGAACACATCGAAACGACTGACATCCTGTTTTCATCGCTTCTTGTTTCGTCTAGATCTTGGGATTCAACTTCACGCGATAATAATCTAGTGTGCTCGGTGACTTGAGCATTGGTCGCCGATTGTTCATCCGTTGAAGTACAATCAAGGCTTAGCTTGAAGTGTCGACGGAGAAATGGATTCCTCCTCGCTTCTTTCCGCCAAAATTTTACATTGAAAGGTAAAGCAATGATCCTTTTAAAACCTTCCCTTACAAGGAAACTCGTCTTGGGATTACGGTGATCAAATTGAATCCTAGCGTCTTGTTTATTGATGTTGTATATATCAAAAAACAGAAGAAATAACACCCAAGACGAACAGATTACCAGCACCAAGAAAAGCAAGAAGTAAGTAATTGCATTTAAAGGGTAATTTGGATCCCATTTAGGGAACAGTGTTAGAAGAGTTAACACCGAGATTAATAGTTTTCGAATTCTTCCAAGAGACTTCACTGGGCCATGGCCATCAATAAATATTGTTGAAAAATCGATGAAAGTGACATTGGGCTGTCAGAAATTTTGTATGTCGTGCGTTCCTTGGGGAAGGAGCTTATATACATGATCATTTGAGGAAAAACAATCAAAATGAAAGCAATGAGGGCCACAACAAAAACACCGGTAAGATAATCCAACACAGTTATTGATGAAAAGTCCGAACAGATGATTACGCGACCTAGTAACCTGCAACAAGTATAGTACGCCGTTTTCTTGTTCCAGAGGCACAATTTGTAATCAAAATGATCGTCATTGACGCGGTCATGGGGATACAGTTGGTGGAGTAGAAAGCTGAAAACAAAGTCAGAGGCATTCTTTCCTGGAAGTAATACGCATCCTTCGGTCATTTCAGCGACAACTATATCCAGGGTTACGAGACCAGCATTTAATGTACTTGTATAGGAGGATAAAAGCATCGATGGAACATTTTCGGCTGCTGCGATTAACGAAATTAGCGTACGACCAATTTCGTTTGCCCAAGTTAACCGTGGTAGCACATAAGTTAACTTCGTCTTATTATTAAACGATTCGATCCAAACATTCAATCTTATCGCACTCTTACCGCGATGAGCCAATTGCAGGACTTCCTTTAGGGATGCCGCTACGTAGTTTCGATAATCGATATGCAGACGGCAGTTTGTCGATGAATTGTTTGCTGGATTTCCAATTACTATAGATTCAACTTTATCGATTCGGGAAAATACTGGATCCGGAAAACTCCGGTTGTCTGGAATGGCTTTGGACAACCCACTGCAGGCAATCACCATCAGCACGAATATTTTGGCAGTCATTTTTAACTCCCCAATATCATTCTAAAATAGCATCGTTAATTAGTGACGTTGTAAGTTGGAACGTGTATAAATATTTAGTGAAAAGACTTTCTGGTAACTATATCTTACTTCTTACTTTCTGGTAACTATATGGTTGTTAATACTGTATATATGAATTAATTAGCTGTAAAGATACCATCGCGGGTAATCCAGGGCAATACCTAGGCTCCAATAGGTGGGAGGGGGGATAAAATTATCCAAACGTTATTTAGTTTTTTAAACATAATTTACCTTGAAAATTGTAGGAAAAAACAAATGAAAGTGCCGAACATCACTGCATTACGCATTGCATCAAACGACGTTCGGTCAGTGCATGAACTACGACCGAACTCGGTTTGCCTCGCTCACTCCCCTCCCCCCCCCCGTTTTATTTGCACTATTTCTCGCCAATATGAGCTAAATATGGCTGACGCACCTTGTCGCCAGGCCTCCAGCAAACGCTCCCACTTTTATAAAGGACAAAGTAGACTGAGAAAATAAACCAGGCCCTCAAATAACTAAAAGTAACTTGAATTATCAGTGGTTCAATCTCGGAGTTTGCAAATATCAAAAGATAAAAGAAATGGTAAAAGATTTGTACAAAATAGTACCGGCGCGTACAACCCAGACGTACCGAACTGGACACTAACCACTTGGTCACTCGACTACGTGTACGCAGCTGGAAAACTCGCTAATTTAACGTGGAATATATACAGTGGCCATTTATAGAAAAAGCATACGCGTGGAAGCAGTGATAACGAGGTGCTCTTACATATCTGGAAAAGCCTTGACCTTCTATACAAGAGTTAGGAAATACGCTAATGGAATTATTATCTTGATATTAACGTTTTCAAACCCTTACTGATAACTGTGTGGCAGCAATTCCGGAATCATCTTTGCCATGTCCGTGAAAATACGTAGCCACAAAGCTGAATTCAGTAGACAAAGCATCTCGAAGAGGGAGTGCAAAGGGTTGTGCAACTGCTACGGTTTTAGAACACTTATTGTTTTAATGTGAATAGTTTGTTTAGTACTTTATGTTATTTAGTTAAATGGATGAACATGCCGAAAGGCTTCATGGGAAACACATGCATTTTGATTTAAAGCATGCAACTGAGTTTTCCAAGGTTTATGTCAAAATATATTGTCGCTTTAATCCTACGAAATTTCCATGCCTTATCTGGACATTCAGTATAGAGCACGTAAAACGGTTTGAGTTTCTTTTCACCTGCCTGGAAAGTTGCGCGGTTCATGTTAAAGTAGCTTATTCGTTGGATACAGCATCTTCATCAATGCCTTGAGGTGGCTTTACTCCTTTAGTCTGGAAACTATCATGCAGTTATTTTATGTTTAAGTATAGGACTTAAGGCTGTTAAAGCGCTTTTAGGGGCTGATTGTTAGTTCGAAATAAGCAAGCATTGTTTCGAGACGTTATGTGACTTGTACAAAGGCCCAAAAGATCAAAAGATTTATTATTTTACGTTCGTTGTTGAGTTCGATATTCGCGTGCATCGGCATCTCCTCTCTTTTATTATATGGATGGGGGTATTTTACTGAGAACTAAAACACTCGTAGAACTCATACGTCACTACATCCGGGACCAGATGTGCGTATTTTCCGTATGTCACGTTTTGGGGTGACATAACGAGTTTCGAAAATTTTCCCGCTATTTTCTTTGTTGTTGTGAAAATACAAATGGCCTTTTGTTCGTATATAAAACGAAATTAACGTTAGAAATACAAACAAAAACACATAAGACATCCTTAGATAAGGAAAAATTTGTCTACTTCAATGTTTAGGTTATAATTTAAAAAATATTTGCTTTTATAATGGTCTTCCGCGGCTAATTTTCTTGTCGCCTTTGTGTGTATTTTTTTCACTCATAATTTCTCGTTCGCTGCGCTCACTCGTGAGATATTGTTCTTGCCACTCGAACATAAAATCCATATCTTCTCGCAACCGTGCAATATCCTCTATGTATTTGGCAGTCGAGAGTTGCATAAATAATGTTTGGTAATATCAAATTTCGTTCGGCAATTTTGAATGGATTACTTGCATAATACATTAAGACCAACTTATGATCTAGGTTACAAGAAAGAAATAAATCCCAGAGGCAGAGCTACAAAGAGCCTTCAGAAATTAGCATAGTTGCCAAGTTTGGCTGCAAAATCTCAAGTAAACGTAGGAAAAAATATATACATATAGTCATGCGAAGTATAGCAATTACGGGCGGAAGTGTCTAATTGATAGTTACACTATTCCGGCCATAGCACAAAAGTAAACAAAATTTGACAACTTCGCTTGGCTATATCTTGGCTATATCTAAATTACAATAATTCGCAGCCAAACTTGGCAATTTTACTATATTTTGTATGCAATTTTCGGAAATTCTTGTTTTGTCGCCCAAATCAAAAGTTTGTCGAATATTGTTCGTGCATCACAAATGTTATCGTATAAAAGGCAATAATATTAAGGATTCGAATGCTCTTACTTCACAAATAACGCTTTCCAAGAACTATTTCTAGTTATGGCTAAATCAATATCAGAGTAATTTAAAATTAGAGTAATTGACCTTAGAATTTAGATACATACCGACTCTACAGCACCAAAAAATAAATCAAGTATTCACACTCTATACCAACTTGGGCACGATACAACAACGTCTGAACAAATCGTGATTGTCGCGTGATGTCTCGGATTACAACTACCACTTGTAGAACAACTCGTGACATCCGTCTTATAAAGGTGGCTTCCTAGGGTTTTTACCCCGGGGGTAACGTTACTCGTATACGTTGCCTGACCTTTCGCGCGAGACTGCGAATTTCGGTAATTTCTCTCGGTGAATTTTCTATAAATTTCGTATATTAAACGAGATTGCTTTCATTAGTGAGAAATGCAAAATTAGAAAAAAAATCAATCCAGGGAATATTTTTAATATCAATTTCAAACCAATTTCTTCATTACAGAAAAACCGTCTGTAAGTTTGTGAGCAAAACCTTTCATTCACCAAATCAAACCCAAATAAGATATAATACATAAACCAACATCCCACCAATATATGTGGTGTAACTATAGTAGAGGGCATTAGGGTCATTCACGCAAGTAAAGAGAAATCTACTCGCAATAACACGAAACACGTGTACAAACAAAGCCGTGATTCACCCCCAAACTATCGCATGCAGATATAGGCAGGGGCGTGGGAAGCGTCAAGAGTTAGGGGGAACAGCCTCTTGCGGCACTTTTGGTTACTAAAAAGGGCAGCTAAAATATGTATAGGGACGGTTGTGAAAACTGCGAGGACACCACTACTGGCACTAGTGTGGTTTATATTTATGCCCAACAGCTGGGCATTTTGTACGGAGCATGCGCGAACTTGGCATCCACGCATATAGTTGAATATCTTTTGCAGTAAAAGAAAGAATTCGGCACTTTACGAAAAGAAGAATATCATGTACGTGTAACTGCTGGTTTTGTTGTATCTTGTGGTACAAAACATGGCATTGAGAAAGCATCCGAATGATCTAAATTAGCAAACAATATGTTGGTTTGTCACACCCACAATTTTGTTCCGCACTTTCGTGTGGAAATTAAGAATTTCAGTCACAATGTGGTCGTCGTTGGTTTGTTAGCAGTTAAGGAAGCATATATTGCAGGAAGCTTTCAGTCATTTGTCAGCTTTCAGCTGGACATTAACTTAAAAAAGCCACCAGAATCCTCACAGTGGAACTATGGCATGAGAGTATTGAAACCAAAATAGTTTTGTTGATTTTATCAGATGTTGATCTTTCTATATTAATCAATTTATAAAATATATACAACTGTGCTATGCAAACAATCTCGACTCCTCTACATCATTTATTTAATAATTTTTATAAAATAAAGTGAAATATGACAGCTATAGCAACAGTCTCAGGCCAAATTGAGCTCAAACATATATATTTCCACCTCCCTTAGGGAAATGAAAGGTTCTAAAGATTCCCCATTATTGTATTTTAATGCAAGCAATGTTATACTAAATTTTTGCTCAAATAATTTTATTATACTCTAGTTAAATGATCAGAAATAGGAAGTAACATATCCCACAGGCTAATTTATATGTTTGTTTACAGACAAAAATAAGTATTGTGCGCATTTTTCTCAGCATGCCCACTAACATTTTTATGAAGTTTGAACAATATGGATAGTTTTAAGCCATGTTTCAGAGAGAGGCACTGGTAAAAATTTTAAAATATTTTTATATATGTGCCACAGCATCACATAATTTCACAAGGCAAGCATGCCCATATTAAAGTTTGCGGTTGGATTCTTAAAACTTACCAAATCAATAGGACTTTTCATAATTCATAACAATCAATACTTGGACATATTAAAATCACTTTTGCAGCAATTTTTACATCATAACAAACTCATACAGAAGGAAGTTCGTAAGTATGTTACAACATGGCATTTTCAGAGCATAAGTGGTTTGTGAAATTACAACATCTAGAGCATTTTTCCCATGAGTGGCTAATGTTTCAATAAAACAAAACATGATTTAACTTTCATAAAATATACTTTATAACTGAAGGCAAAGGTCAGTTTTCACGAAATCGAAAGAGGAAAAGGTGTTATTTCTATAGAAAAATGCATGTTAAGGTACTTATTATTTCGCGTGAGAAGGGACAAATAGATTAATGAACACACATGTGGAAACAACAATATGTCAGCTTCTGTCAAGAGTAAAATAGGGTTAATTCGTTGTTTGCATACTGCTGTAACCTGGTCCTGAAACTTTGACAATGAGTGAAATACTTCAACTTGTCGCCCATTTGCAAATAAAAATCCTTCGCAAATATTTACGCGAGAATGTCGTTATACCCTTGTATGCAAGCACGGGAACGTAATCTTTGAATACACCCTTTTATTTCCATGAACAAACCAGTAAAAAAGGAGAAAAAGCTCCTCGAAATACATGTTTTTGGCGTTTGAAGAATTAAAATTCTTCTTGAAGAAATGCGCCCGCAATTTTTAGACAGCGACAACAAAATGCCCAGCTGTTTTTATGCCCTATATTTGGGCACGTGTAGGTCATAGGCAGAAAACAAAACGGGCACCTTCGATTTTAAATTAGTATTTTTAAAAGAGTTACATTAGTTTGTGCAAAAAGCATTTTTCATCAAAAAAATTTGAGGGTTTGAGGGTGAGTAAGCTTTTAAAATACAGACCGTACTGTCTACCGTACTCTCAGCTCATACGTGATATGGTCTGCTGCTACTGTTCAAGTCAAACGTTAGCTGCGCGAAGCAAGCGGTTGTTACTTTAGTTTTCTTGATATTTGGATAGTTTTATCTGCCATGAACGCATTGAACGCCACCTCGTACTTTCGCGTGGCTTTGTGTGGTTTCGCGTGGACGCCTCTGAAATTTGGGGCTTACAATCTGATTGGTTGAAAATAGTGTGCTTAATTTCCAAATCGCACTATATTTGAGCATTAATCACATCATTTATAAGCCAATAAGATTGAAGATCTACACCACAATAACTAATCAGATTTAGAATTTCAGTGTGACTATCCAATCAAATTGCTATTTCATTTCCTCGTAACTCATTTTGACAAAAACAACTCGCCCGCACTTCGAATACTCCGCTTATACGTGCATGTCTTAATAATCAACTTTTTAATTATGACTAAAACAGGATAACATTAATAAAATTACTTCTTCATCGTAGGCAAGGCAATAAGACCATTTGGCCAATAAGCAATACATAGATATAACGATGATTAAAATTTCAAATAGAAATGCTTATGATATAGAAATGCTATAATATTCCATTTTAAATTAAAAATATAGAAATAATTATAAGCGGTGACAAGTTCAGGAGAGCCTTAATTGACTGCCCCTGGGGAGAGAGTATATCATTTCATGACGAAAGACGTATGCAACAAAAACGCGTTAAAATTAATTTTTTATTACACGGCTGAGAACATACATGCGCTATCTTACGGGGACATTACCCATAAAGATAATTTCATTGTTGGCGAAGGATCGTAAAACGAAATAACGTGGAAAAACTCGCCCTACGGGGCTAAGACGGGGCTAGTTTTCCACTGATTATTGATTATTCTTATCTCCCACGTGTGATTCTATAACAGTAGAGAAACACGAGAATGTTTCTCAAATAGAGATCAATTTAACAACGACATTCTTTTAATATACAAAAACACAGGGTGCAACAAAATTCGGAATTTCATGCATCAAAACGTATCTATTACAATTATGTTTCTTTGTAATTTTGTTCAATAGAATTTACATATATTTTTTTAAACATTTGATAATGTGCTGAATGGGAAAATGTCTTGAATTTCACAATTATCTTTCGAATCGCACTCCTATATATTTCGACGCCATCTTGAAAAAGATGTAGACAAATTGCAGACAAATACTTTCCGTATTTTATTCGACAGCAGATGGTTTTTTATGTCGGTCATTGTAAACGACTGTTCATATCTCGCTTCCATTGCATCGTATATATGCGTTAGTTGCTGAAATTTGAAACTTCACAGGTGTTCATGAACGTCCAGATAATGAAAAATATGCGAATTGCTGAGTCAAAGAAAACGAATTTTGATGGTGTTTCAGTTGTTCATTTCGCCAGCTACTTCATGGCGAGAAAATGTGGACATAAGTGGGAGGAGTTAAGTGTCTGACTTTCAAGAGTCATACACAAAGTATTCGAAAGATCGGCAAAAAAATTCGAAGATGGAAGCTAAACGATGCGCGCATAGTCCGGACGCACTCGTCGGGAATTATCTCGTTGAGAAAGGCTATGTAATTTTCCTGCTTGGATTATGCGTTATGCCATTGTAGCAAAACGCTATTGCGAATAGCCATACAGTATAGAACATGATCACCTGATATGGCTTGTTTGGCGACGTAGAACAACATATTCGACGGCACATTTCCATTTATGAGCAGTTTAACATTCGCCAAAGAAATAGTTGCGTCAGACATTTAAGAGCTTGTTTCTATATGCTTTAAAAACATTAACCTAACTGCTATAGACGCTAAAATGTACCGCGTTTGTTGTTATGAATATATATATTGCGCGAAATTAATTTCAAAATTTCGCCGGTTTCAATATAATTATGTAATATTCCAGCCATAGACGGCAATGTTTATGAATATATTAATTTTGCCTAGAGACCAAATAAGGCTTGGTCACAAAGCTGGTACTAAAAACAAGCAAAATAGATGCATATTCGAACAAGAAAGGCCGATATTTAGTTTGTTCTGTTCGCCATTCCAGTGCGCTTTTGCTCGGGGGGTCAAATTTCACGGCTGGAATATACCAATTTTGCACTAAAGTTAGTTCAAAATACCGAACTACGTAAAAATCGTACAGATTTGGGAAAATTTACCGATTGAAACACGTTGTACTGGCAAGCTAAGGGAGATGCGACACTTAGTATTCGCCAATCACAATGGTTAGAAAATGGCATTTATTTGGGCCGCTTTTGAGGTATTTACGTACTGGGCTATATATTCTATTTCACCCCTGGTTCACAGTTAAAAGTCGTGATACCGAATGAAATTTCTATATCGTTATATTACAAATTTTCGGTTGATGAAAGTTGTTACCATGATCTAGCAATTTTCGGTCC